TCCAGATTGCCAAGGACGTTCGTGTGAGCGGAAGAACCCTTTCTGGCCAGCAAGCTAAACCGACCTTCGAGGGTTGCTTGCCCTTTGCCAGGGCCGCGCCGGCCCCCACGGCGACCCGGAGCAGACTGGGACAGCGGGGTCCGCTGGGCGTCACAGCAGCCCTGCAGCCGCACCGGGGCACTCATTTACAAACCCAGCATCCTGCTTATATTAACAACTAGAACAAGACACAAAGATCAGAGATTTTTGTAGCTTCTGAAGGTTCCTTCTAAGCTTTCTTTTGCTATGAAACCCCTGTTGGAGGATATATTTTTCTGCTAAACAGCATTGCAGAAATGGGCAGAGCCCCCGTGCAGGAGGCCGCCCTCCCTCCCCTCTGCACCCCTCCTCGAGGGGAGAGGGACCACCTTCTGCCAACAGTATCAGCAGAAGAAGGCACGCAGGCGGTGCAGCGCGTACACCCCTCCAGCGCTGACCTGGTTTCCCTCTGCTGCCTGCGCTGCTGCTTCACCCGCCTCCTAACTCGGACAGCAGGAGCAGAGGGGCTGAAGTGATCTGCAGTGGGTTTGCCCTACACGTTATTTTCACTTCTCATCCGATTTTTAAAATAAGCCTGATATCCAGAAAGATGTGCTGCATGTCCTGTCCCTCCCTCCGAGTCACCAGCAAGTAGAGGAAGCAAGAGGTTCACCCGTGTCAACCTTAACACGGACAAGTCTCTCCGCCTCGTCCCTAGTCACCCTTTCTCAAACACCCTTCACATCCCAGCGCTGAGGAAGCACCTGCGGGCCAGGCTGGGGCCGTGCGCGGTGGTGCTAGACACTGGGGACCTGCAGGAAGAGGCACCCAGAGGACCACCCAGCGGACAGGGAAGGCGGCAGGACTGACCCCACACAGTCACTCCCTGGCACGCAAACTGTAGGTGCCAGCTCCGTTTTACATCTTGCTCTACATGTACACAAGGACTCTCGCCTTGCTTTAGCCACTAGCAAATTGGCCACACTCAGGGAATCCAGTACTAGAAATTATCTACCTCTGGCTCTGGAGGCCATCCCAGAGGGGGGGTTTGTTCAGAGCTCCTCTCCTCAATCCATCAACGTGATCAAAGCAATCTGCACGTGGCTTCTACAGGTCCCGGCCAGTAATTTCCATGTTGCTGCTGATTCCCCAAGTGCTGGAGGTGAGTCTCGCCGAGTGACTTCTGACTAGGGCGAAGCAGGGAGGGGTCTCGTTCTTCCCTTGGCTCAGCAGCAGAGAGTCCTACTCACTGTCCTTCATCTCTTCCCAGCCACCTCGGCGGCACACGGTGACGAGCAGGCCTGCAAGGTTGCAGCTGTAATGGGTTGTTTCGGTGCCCGAAACGGGCAGCAGGGCCTGGAGGCCGTGCTGAGAGCTGCTTGTGCCCGGCAGGTTGCACCATGGGTTGCCTGGGGGCTCCAAGAAATAATACTGCCTGTAATTCTGCGCTTACCATCTTCTTTTTGTTCAAAATGAAAGTGGTAGCCTCAGGACCCACGCTCCTACCACCCAGAAATGCTGTACACAAGCAGGAGCATTTCAGTGCGTGCCTGGGGAGTGGTTTCGGGTAGGTTTGTCTGTGCCCTGTGCAGTCCATCGGGGAAAAACCGGCGATCAGCTTGAACTACTAGAAAAGATACTGGTAGAAAACAGACAAAAGACATTAAAAAATAGAGGTATTTGCCCAAATAGAGGTATTTGCCCAAATAAAGTAATAAGAACGAACCATATAGGACATAGAGCCATTTGCCGCCCTCCCTGTTCTGTTGCAGCCATGGAGAAGGGCACCATGATACCCACTGGTGGGAAAACGGGCTTTTTAAGGTTTGGCCAATTTTTTCCAGCCTTTTTTTTTTTTTTCCCTGTCAAAGAGTCTGTTGTATTTGCTGTGCCAGTGCTGTGGGAGAAGGTAACAGGGCGACCCTCCCCAGCAGCCCGGCGCCCAGTACCCCACCAGAGCGGGCAAGAGGTAACTTTCCCTCGCCCCGCCGCCCCCCGGCCTTGCTACAGAGGCAGCTTTGCCAAAAAGGAGGATTTGTCCTTCTTTGCCAAGGGAGTAGTAAAGCAGCGCAGGCATGGCACAGGCTCACATCCTCGCTGAGATCTGCGGGTGTCTGAGCCTTCGTGCTGCAGCCGTGGGCGATGATCCTCCCTGGCCGCGGGGAGCGCGGGAGCTGCTCTGCCGGGAGCTCGCTGCGCGGGAGCAGCCCTGAGCAGGCGTTTGGGGGGGGATGTCGCTTCCCCTCTGCTGCCCGCTGAAC